CTCCCTCCCTCCCCACTGGCTTTCCTCCCTCCATTCTTCTGTCCCTTTCCCTTGCCTTTCACCCCCCTTGCCTCCCACTGAACCGAGAACTCCCCAGACTCTGTTGAGATTGTTTTCCATAGGCTTTTCGTTTCTGGAAAGAAGAGGGCTCTCTGCTTCAGAAGAAATGAAAATCTCAGTAAGTTTTCTGTGCTTTGTGTTCTAACTTTAGTGTGATTTTTTTCCCCCTTGAGACAAGGTCTTATGAAGCTGGGACTGGCCTGGAGCTCACTATGCAGCTGAGAATGATCCTGCTGTGATCCATTAGTACTGGAATTATGGGCTCACAATACAAACCCAGGACTGGGAACTCACCACTTTGTGAGGAATGAGGACAGTAGGTCGAGGCTAGAGAAGCCGAGGCAGTGTTTTAAGGATGCTCTCAGTCTCTAGTGAAGGGGCTCATGAAGGAAACAGACTGCCCCACTGGCCAATGTGTCAATCATTAACAATTAAGGGTCCCTGTGAAACAAAGAGATAGCTACCATTAGTTATCACATCCTGAGGTCTGCAGGTTTTACAACTGGTGGGATCAGGAGGCTATCTGATTCCCAGGCCTCCCCTCAAGACAAAGGGCTTCCTAGGAACCCATGACTCTGGTCACATATTCAACAGACTGAGAGTCAAGGTCCCACTCTAAGCTTATGGTTTTTGCCTTTAAAAACGCCTGGGGGACGGGGCTGCTCTCTAGCCTGCATGCTGAGAGAGCCTGTTTGTACAAACGTCTACCTTTCATTAAAGCCTCTTGCTGTTTGCATCAAGTTTCGGCCTCCTCATGATGATTGGGGTGGCCGCAGTCCTGGGAAAAGATTCTGGAGGCCTGAGCTTCCGGGGGTCTTACACTATAGCCAGAGTCCGCCTAGAAACAAAGCAGAACAAGAGAGAGAAAAAGAAGAGAGATGAAATGAGAAAGTAGGGAAGAGGAGTATTACAGCCACAAAAGGCAACTAGTTTTAGGCTGGTGGAGTTACAAATCAAGATCTCATTTCATAAACAAACAAGCAAAAGGTGGGCATGACAGTTCATGCATGTAATTCTAGCAATGGAGCAACAGGGATAGGGGGATCATGGAGTTGAAGGCCAGCCTAGGCTACATAGTGAGTTCCAGGCTGGACTGGGCTAAAGAGTGAGAGAGTCTCAAAAACAAACAAATTCAACCAAACAATCGTACTTCAGCCTAGAAGCTGGGTCTGGAGAGAGCCAGGGAGTTTAGTTTCCTTTGGATGACAAGCTAAATTCCCCACGTGATGGGATTTTGGTGCTGGAAGGCCTTTTGTTCAGGAGAAATGTGTGGTGGGTCTGTCACATCTAGTACCACTTTCCTGTTTTAAAGGTTTCCTCTGTAGAGCTGTTTTGTAGGAGAGCCTTGTTTTTTGTTCGATATTTAAAAATAAAACTATCTTGGGAAAAACAATCATACAAAATAAAAAAAGGAGGCTGGTGCCAGGCATGGTGACACAGGCCTGTAAAGCCCATATTGGAGGATGGGGTGGGCTACAGTGTGAGCCAACAAACAAAATGAAGCAAACATAAACGCAAGGGCTTGGGGGTAGCTCTGTGATTGTTTTTCTAGCCCATGTGAAGTCCTGGGTTTGATCCCAGCATCACACCCCGGGGTAATGCTCATTCCTTCTTGGACATTTTATATGTTCACTTTCTTCTTTCTACCAGCTCCAGCTGCCCAGTGGATGCCAAAATGGTCTCTGCTCTAGACAACTCTTATCCATTTCCAAACACACCTTTCCAGTCCTATCCATTCCTTTAGAGACTACTTGCTGTGTTCCCCAAACAGACTTTAACCCCCTGGTTAAAGGCAGATTTCTGGGCAGGCATTCCAGGTGTCCGACCACTTTCCGAAGCTTTCAGGAGCCCGCCTTCTCAGCCCCACCCATGCCTGTCCTCTAACACCCATTTTTGCTGAAGGGTTTCTTCACTCCTTGGGCCTGTGGAAATTCTTCTCATACTTCTTTATTTCTGGAATTCCCCACAGAATTGAATTTGCCTCTTCCGCCCTCATCTCTATCAATTTCCTTTTTCACATACATGCTTTTGTATCTGCATGCACATTCTTCGTCTCCAAGACTTACATTTTTTATTTATTGTTGAGATTCTATTATTTTGCTATAGAATCTTAGTTAGCCTTGAATTTATGATAATCCACCTGCCTCAACCTTGCTAGTCCTGGGTTTACCAGCATGGGACACCACGCCCAGTGTATATTTAAATTCTGAAACACAGCACTACTTTTTTTTTTATTCTTTTTTTTTTCTTTTCACAGTACTACTTTAATTTTTTTTTTTAAACCATATATAGAGCCTGGCGTTGGTGAAGCACGCCTTTAATCCCAGCACTCAGGAGGCAGAGGCAGGCTGATCTCTGTGAGTTCGAGGCCAGCCTGGTTTGTTTTTGTTTTTCGAGGCAGGGTTTCTCTGTGTAGCTTTAGAGCATATCCTGGCACTCGCTCTGGAGACCAGGCTGGCCTCGAACTCACAGAGAACTGCCTGCCTCTGCCTTCCAAGTTCTGGGATTAAAGGTGTGCGCCACCAACACCCGGCAATAATTTATATTTTTATTTTATGTGCATTGATGTTTTGTCTGCTTGTATGTCTGTGTGAGGGTGTCGGGTCCCCTGGCACTGGACAGTTGTGAGCAGCCATGTGGGCACCATAAATTGAACCCAGGTCCTCTGGAAGAAAAGTCAGTGCTCTTAACCTCTGAGCCATCTTCCCAGCCCCAACACTGCACTACTTTTAAAAAAAAATTTTAAATGTATCTCTGACTTTGAGGCCAGCCTGGTCTGCATAGTATGCTCCTGGCAAGCCAAGGCTACATACTGAGACCATATCAAAAGCCAAAACAAAATGGACAAACACAGAACCCCACAAAACACTGAAGCAGCGGTCAGTGGTGCTGCGTGCCTTTAATTCCGGCACTCAGTAGGCAGAGGCAGGCAGGTCTCTGTGCATTCGAGGCCAGCCTGGTCTACAGAGCGAGTTCCAGGAAAGCCTCCAAAGACACCTTGTCTCGAAAAACCAAAACCAAAACAAAACAAAACACTGAATCCAGGAAGGATTTATCTAGGAGCTGTTTGGACATACTGAACCAGAGCACCCTAAAAAAATTCATGAGGCAAAGACAGGGGCTTCTTTTGTTTTGCTTTTTGTTGGGAATTTCCAGAATAGTTTTTTGGAGGCAGTCATTGCTTGGGCAGACATCCTAAATTGTAAACCTTCCTGTTAATTATTGAGGGTACCCCTGCTGAGAAATGTTGAAGGCCAGCAGATACTGACTTCAATTGTTTACCCAAGCCTATTGGAACATTCTGTGGTTTAACCTTTAGCAGGTTTGAGTGCAGGCCTTTTGCAACCTCCCAACTCCACTTTAAAAAAAAAAAAAAAACCTTAATTGCTAGAAGTGTGTATCGGCATGGCACTTATCACTCTAGCCACTTGGAAGCTGAAGTCAGCCTGGGCAACATAGAAAGAAGACCACATCTCAAACTTAAAATGAGAAAAATGCCTAGCACAAGAGTGATGTCACATACTTGTGATTTCAGCTCTCAGGAGCCTCAAGTGGAAAGATAAATAAGTTCCAGGCTAGCCTGGGCTGCAAAGTGAGGTGCTGTCTGAAAATTTTTTAGTTTTATTTATTTGTTTATTTATTTATTTATTGTTTTTCGAGACAGGGTTTCTCTGTGTAGCTTTGGAGCCTATCCTGGCACTGACTCTGGAGACCAGGCTGGCCTTGAACTCACAGAGATCCAATTGCCTCTGCCTCCCGAGTGTTGGGATTAAAGGCATGTGCCACCAACACCTGGCAACTATTAGTTTTAATGATTTAATTTTCCTTGGTAGAGAGCAGGGCTTGTGTCCTCACTTAGTATTATATAACATAGCCTCCCCTTAAGGCAACTTATTCAATGTTTTGGATGTTAAAGTTAGAGCTAAATAAGGTGGTTTTGTTGTTTTTTTCTTCACAATGCAGACAGAATGACATTTTTATTAGAAAAAGACCCATGAAGAGATTTATTACACAACCTTTAGACTATTTCATGAGACACGATGCTGAAGGCTTTGTATATGAAACTAACAACTCCCTGAGCCAAAGCAGGCCACTAGGCAAAGGCCACTGAATTAGCACCACCCGTTAATTGTTTGTTTGGGAGGGGGTATTTTCTTTGATTTTTAATTTAATTTTTTATTTTATGTGCACTGGTGTTTTGCCTGCACATATGTTGTGTGAGGGTGTTGGATCTTTGAGTTACAGACCAGTGTGAGCTGCCATGTGGATGCTGGGAATTCAGGTATAAACCGGGAGGTGGTGGCGGCGGCGGCGGCACATGCCTTTAATGCCAGCACTCTGGAGGCAGAGGCAAGTGGATCTCTGTGTGTTTGAGGCCAGCCTGGTCTACAAAGCTAAACAGAGAAATCTTGTCTCTAAAATAACCAAAAATAAAAGACAGGTGTATTTCTTGTATCCAAAAGCTCTAGGTGAATGTTGCAACCCTACCTAGCTCACCCAGAACTTTTGATTTCTCAAAGGACGTTGTACTTAACTTTAAAATCATTTTCCCTTTTGTTTTATTAGGTGTTTTGCACTCATGTATGCTTGTGCACCCTGTGGTGGTAGTCAGAGGCCAGAGAGGATATCAATCACCTAGGACTAGAGCTATTGCCAGTTGTGGTGAGCTGCAATGTGGGTGCTGGGACTTGAACTCAGATCCTCTGGGAGAGCATCCAGTGCTCATAACTGAAGAACCATCTCTCCAACCCAAATTGTACTTATATTTTAAAGCAAGTTCAAATGCTACTGCTGTGTGTGTGCATGGGTGTGCAGGTACATTTGGGAGGCAAGGTCGGAGGACAATCTGGGTATGATTCCTTTCAAGCAATGTCCACTTTTTTTTTTTTTTTAAGACATGGTCTATCATAGGCCTGGAATTCACCAAATAGACAACACTGGCTGTCCAAAAGCCCAAGGGAATGACCTATCTCCATCTCCCCACCCCTGAGATTATAAGTACACTGCAAATCTTTGTTTGGCTGCAGTCAGAGTTAGGGTCTTGTGCATGTTATTGAAGCCCTCTAGCTGCTGAGCTGCACCACCAACCCAAACTCAGAACAAACAAATAAAAACAGT